ATGTGCATGGTTGTCGTCTTCACCTCATTTGGTATATGACGAGTGGACTTGAAAATGTTGAATCGATGATTCGGCTTAGTCGCACAGTTTTAGCGAAAATTGGGTCGGGGTTAGCAAGAAGGGCTAGAATATCCCTCAGGTGAAAGACCCGGTGATTGGATTCGCACTCCGTTGGTACAAGAGCCCATAAAGTGTGTCGGTGTATGTGAAACCGTTGGTGGTAGTCCATGAATTCCGTGTCGGTTGGGTGCCGTTGGTGTAAGTCCATGAATACCCACCCCAAGAAAGACCCTAGTTTTGAAAATGTCATTTGATGTGTTACATAGATAACAGTTTAAATTACACATTGACACAACATTGTGTTGCGGGAGTCGGTGAAGACTCGTGGTAAAGTGCATGAGTGAGTCTCACCTCATTTCATGACATGATATTATGATTTTCCAACATTGAATTATATGTTATTGTTGGGATGGATATTGTTGTAAATTGTTGTAAGTACTCATTGCACATGCATCTGGGGGGAATAGCCTCTGTAGGAATTTCTCTACTGGGTGTGGCTGCTCACCCTATACGCGAACACATTTCAAGTGCGGGATATACCCCGGTGGATGACTCTCATTCGGGGTCTCAAATATGAAGAAAAACCGAGTTGTGGCTTTTGAACCGAGTTTTTGTAAAACTATTGTAAAATTATGTTTTTGGACATGTAATTATATGGAATTACTTGCAATGGAACTTGTATATATAAAGTTTTATTGTGAAAAGCTATGTTTTTGCAAAACATTCACTAAGTTAGTTTTTGGACTATGTTAATAAAATCTTGCATGCTATTATACGTTTATTTTTAAATAGACCCAGTGTGGTCAATATTTACTTTTAAATAGACCCAGTGTCGTCAATGTTTACTTTTAAATAGACCCGGTGTGGTCAATATTGTATATTGGACCTCGGATGGGTCATGTGATTGTATGATGCACAAGTTGTGTTTTGGGTAGAGCTTCTTGTACAAAAGAGACTCTGCCCAAATTTTGTTAAATTAAGGACCTCCAGTTTTTGGGGCGTCACATATTCTCCCACACAAAAAAGTGTGTTCATGCTCTCATTATATAGGATCAATGTATTACCTGGTGAGGAGTCGGTGAGGAGTCCAGCTTTTGCAGCACATTTGTTTTTATCTGTTTATGAGGATTTGACTTTATCTACTTATGAAGATTTGGATTATCCAGCACATTTGTTTTTATCTATTTTATTATTTGGATTATCCTTTACAAGAGCCATTTTATTTGGGATTCTAGAACACTATAGCATTATTAATAACCTAGCCCATGCCAATTGGTTGATTTGGATACCAAAATTGGCAACCATGCTTTGTTTGTGAAGTTTCATATAATCTCGTTGAGAATAAAGCTAGTTGAACGATGTGGATCACAAAGCAAGACAAAAACCTATATTGGAAGACTACAAGAACTACTAGTTACATCGCAAGGTTTTTCTGACAACAATGCTAGGCTGACGATTATTTAGGAATAAATTGGTAGCTCAAATGATGTGATTGGTTCCCAACAAACAAATAAGGAAGAGTATTATGTTTTGCTAACATGTCTACAGAAATTAATGCTCATGAGAATATGAGTATAATTTTCTAGGAGACAAAGCCTTTTGAAGGTAGTTCTTTCTTTTAGGTAGCTGAAAGACAAAGAAACACAAGAAAGAAATAAAGAAAGAAAAACTAGTAGTAATGAGTTATTTTTCACAATTTTCTTTTTATTTGTTAATTTTTTTGCATAAGCTTGGGTTGGTGGGGGCTTATACTATGAAAAAAACATGTATTATATGATTTTAAACGATGTTTATGTGTTAGGAATAACGCAGTTGGGCTCAAAGGTGATTCACAATTGAGAAGCCATAAAGTCATACTAAAATATAGTTGAAAGACTTGAAAGAAACCAAGGCACAAAAGTCATCCATCCATTTTGCCTTTTTCAATGGGTCAGAGTTCAAACAGAGATGGAATAATTGCAAAGTTGATTAATTAATCAATCTATCGTGATTGTTTTTTTTAATCTTTTTGGGTGTCTATGCTTTATTGTGATAAGAAAGCTAAAGTCATAAAGAAAGTTATAAAGGTGAAAGCCAGACCACATTAGGCGGCCAGTAGAAGTCTTACTTTATACCATTTTTAGAATAGGTATATACAACTTAGATTAAACTTCTGCCAAAACTTCTGACAAAGCCAGACCAATTAATTTTATATTCCTATTCCTCCCAAAATATCTTTTGTCACTTTAAAGGCAATGTTCTATTCTTTATTCCAATGTTTTTTCACTTATTAAAAGTATTATAAATAAAGCTTCTACTCCAGTGGCCTTTGGAAATACCCAATGTGGGACCACATTCTTTTCATGTTTTTATTTTTTTTGGTTCTAATAGTGAATTTTCAACCTAAACTCTTGACATAATACACCTTTAATAAGTTTTCTATTCTTAGTTAATTTTTTATTTTATAGAGCTAACATCAACAAATTTCTCTTCAATAGGCTCTCTATTTAGACTAGATTTCGAACTGCACTTAAGATTTATATTTCTGTCCTACAATCCATCCGGAAAGTGCACCGGAGCAAAGTTTGGCCTTCAGAGTTAGAGATTTGTACTTTAGTCTGTGTTGAGAAAATGTTTCAGGGATGGAGTAGGTTTTCTATTACCATACAAATGAATTTCATTCTCTTGTTCATCTTGCATAGGTGCTTTTATCTAAAATTCGTTATTACTTGCTTACGTATTACGTATGTGATGTTCGAAAATATTATTGGTTTAGTATAAACCAAGTAACTAAGAACCTCTTGCTTTTCTGTTGACCTTCTTTATTCTGTTTGACAAAAAGGGATTCTATTTTGCATTGTTAAGATAGGGAACTCTTTAGTTTTTTAGTTAATTCCTTCGGAGACAAAGAAAATAGAATAATTGAGGCCAAAACTAAAATAGATAGTTTGATTTGGTTCTCCACATTTGGAGAGTCAATCTTATGCTCTATTTTTTCAATAATGCATAAAAAAATGACACCCATACATTCTTCATTGAGTACATTAACTAAAGAGACTATTATTTTATTAGCATAGAGAGAGTCCTATTGAAATTGTCAAAGAAATTTCATTCTCTATTTTAATTTTTTATAAAAAATTCTTTCTTTTCTAAAAAAGACACTCTTTAAAATAAAAAAATAATATTAGAAATGCTTTAAGATGTCAAATTAATATTTAACCATTAGAGTTATTTATTAAGAAAAAAATTTAAATCCAACTCGATGACACAATTTTTTTTTTTTTTTTTTTATATAAATCAACTTGGCTCGACCTAATTAATAGCATGTCCCATCACTCAAGCTTCACATCGTCGCAACGACTTATCCTTTATTTTACGGGGGAGATGAGTCCGACATGATTTCTTCAAACTTGTGTAATCTAAATGCGTTGGAACGTTGCGAAAGAACCCAAATAACTTTCAAACAAGGGATAAATGATTTCGTTTGGAGTTGACTTTTTTGAGTATAAGTTAGATGTTTGAAAAGTAAAATAAAAAAATTAGAGTTAAAAAATCTTTTTGAACCGTTTAAAATGTTTTTAAAAAATTTGATTTTCTCTTTAAAGTCCTTGAATATGTCCTATTTTTCATTGTCCAAAAAATTAATGAAAAAATCGCTCAATAAATCCATTGAATCAAATTCATAATTTAGTACTCAATTTCTTTGGTGACAGATGTCCAATTTATCGTATGGATCGTTAGAGATTTTTTTTTTGATAAGATATTATTATAGGAAAATAAGACAATAAAATTCGATCCCTCAATCATAATGTTGAATGACGAGGCCGTCTACTGCTATAGAGATTAAAATCTACTTAGTTTATTTTGTGAATGAAGTTGTATCTGTGAGATAATAGTACTGTTAATTCTAAAGGTAATTTAACTAGTAATAAAAATGAGTTGTAAATTTAAATATTTTAAATTTTAAATTTGATAATCTCTTGAAATCAGTTCTTGAAAAGTTTATCTCCTATGAATATATTAATTTCAACGTAGATAGTCTATGTCCTGAACTGTTTAACAAAAAAAAATAAAATTAGGAAGAATTACATTTAAATTTCTTAAAATTTATCACTGAATTATTTAGACACTCTAATATTTAAAATATTATATAAACCCCCTAAAATTTATACACATATAACACTTAGACCCGTACCCCTTGTGGTTGATTATATCTGTTAGTAAATTATACTCAAATTTTCTAAAATTTATAAGTACGTAACATTTGGATCTCTCAAATTTAAAATATTATTCTTAAACCTTTTAATTAGTTATAGAATTAACAGAATTTATTAAACAATCAAATTATCCCAATTAAAGATAAAATATATTGTGTTCATTATAATTTTACTTATTGTTTGGTTTTTAATTTTATTCTAATAAATAATATAATTATATATTAATTTTAATTTTTAAGAAAAAATTAATTTTTATTTTTAATTTTATTTCAATAAATAATACAATAAGATATGAATTTTAATTATAAAATTTAAAATATTTAATATTCTATATTTTTAATTAGAGTATATTTTTTATTTAAGTATAATATTTTAAATTTAAGGAGTTTAAATATTACATATCTATAAATTTTAAGTGATTTAGATATAAGATGTTAACGATAAGAATTATGTATATAAATTTTAAAGAATTTGTACATAATATTTCAAATATCATGAAATTTATGCGATTAAACCGACATACTTCAATTGGTACGAGTGTAATTCTCCCAACAGTTCATAGGATTGTCCGGTCTACATAATATTAGTGTGTCATCATTGTTGTTGTCACTTGAAAACCCAATAAATTGGAAACATACCTACTAGAACACTACTTCTTATTCCCCTCTCTCATTCCTAATTCAACGGCCCGAGTGTGGAGTCCGAGAGTCACCTAAGAACTTGGGAACTCTTCACAGTCGGTGGCTCAGATTCTACGCCTCTTTTATTGTCATTATCTGACTATCATCACCACATTATAATCATTCTGTTATAGACTCTGTAATTAAGTTCTTTAGATATATCTTTTCATTTTCTTGCCCCTATCGAGAACAATTCTTGGTGGGTATTTCATATTTTGGTTGGTAAAGACAGAGACGTTCTTCTTCACTAACTCCGAAACTCTTTTTACGCTCTTTGAAAGATTGGGTATGAGAGAAAAATAGGCGTGCTTAGTGGATTTCTGAGTAGTTCTTGAGATTCTTGGTATTGGGAAACTGTCAATTTTTGTAAAATTTGGAAGAAAAGGAGAGTAAATATGGTGAATTTCAATGAAATTTGGAATAAGAAGACGTTGGTGGGTCTTGGGTTGGGACAGTTTCTCTCTCTTCTGATCACTTCTACTGGCTTTTCATCATCTGAGCTCTCCAGGAGAGGTATGTTTCTCTGTGGTCCGGTTGCTCTCGTTTGAAAACTGTGCTGTTTTTGACCTTCAATATGATAGAGTTATACAACAGGGTATTTGCATTTGGTTTGTGAAATATAATTATCCTTGCTGATTATACAGTTTCATTTGTATTTTGTATCTTTTAATGAAATGAAAGTTTTGTTACTTGTCAAAAAAAAAAAAAGAAAATTTTTTTATACTGTTTCATTTGAGTACAAATTGGTTACTCCCTATCTATATTTTGATATTCATTTGCTACTTTTCATTATTTCAGATTGTGAGTATTTGGCATATTCTCATGTTTGCTGTTAATTGGTAGAAGAAATTACGTGCATTACTTTTTGTTGTATGATATGCACAGTTCCCTTATACTTTCTTACATCTCAATTAACGATTTTAAATGATGTGTTATGTATTCGTTTGTGTATCTTAGGAATTAATGCTCCAACTTCACAATCTATGCTAAATTATGTGCTCTTGGCGTTAATCTATGGAGGTATTATGATATATCGACGACAAGCGCTAAAGGTTAGCTCTGCGTACTCTAGCCTTGATTGTTCTCATTTCACAATTAATTGGTTGTGTGATTGGTTTTCTGATTGCAATGACTGTTTTTATCTGCTGCTAACTGATAAATTAGTGAACTAGTAGTGTCGTACTGAAGAACTTTTGGTCGTAACAAGTAGATTTTGAAGCTGTCTAGCATATGACAATGCAAACATACAAAGCCCTGGCATGGAAGACTGCCAAGTTACATTTTTTTGAACCCTCTTGTGCTGCATGAGCTCCATTTGTTAAATAAGAACAGGCAACAGTCAGTGGAAGTCCAAGTGATTACTGAATCGAATTATATTCAGCCAATCTATGACTCTTGCAGTCTTGCAATGCTGTTTTAAGCAGAACTTGAGGTTAGATTCATACTTTTGAACCCAACTGGGGGATAGGAACATAAATTACAAGATTTTTGGTTTTGGCTCAATGTGTGTGTTACGACATATGACTGACTGTCCACAATAATTTTAAGTTTCCTGTCTCTCTCCTGGTTTTAGTAATCAATTATGGGATCTCTGCATGTGTGCATGCTTGCACTTGCTTCTGCGTGTGTTAAACAATGAATATACTGAGAGAAAGCTAGGGGGTTACATTTCGGAATAGGAGTCGGTAAACTTCAGGCACATCTGGCGCCCAACATAACCTTAAGTGTGAAATTGTTATCAGTGTGATTCGAAGGAATGAGCTATTAATTTACTCTCTTTAAGGATATGATTTAAACCATATAGTTTGAAACAAAAGTTAAGACTATGAATGCCTTAAATGATGGCCCAGCGGAGAAACATTTTGAATGTAGAAACCTTTATGTTGAAATAGAATTTCCTATTGAACAATAGGACAAGAGTGTATTATCAGATTGTTGAATGGACCTTGTAAAGTAATAATAGACACATAGGTTAGGGCCGATTTTTGAATACTTGACTCATGGGTTTGCATCTATAGTTGAATTTTCTTTAATTCATGGGAGTAGATGCTATGCAACTTTCAATGGCCCTTGAGGTTTGAGTGAATTGATGTGTTGGTAATTATCCGAAAAAAGTTGGACTGATGGCTGGTATTGTCGGTTGTCTAAGGAACATCAGAGTGCTATAGATGTAAGAAGGTAGTGATTGGGAGTCTTACATTATTATACACTTCTAGAGTGTTGTTATTATCGTAACCTGCTAAGATATGGGGAAAGTTGTGTTTTGATCAGATCTGAATGCTGGGGCTACCAGCTACTTGGTCCAGAGGCTAAGAGGGTTTTGTGATCAATGAGTGGTTGTCATTGTTCTTAACATTGATGTATGCTATGTTGGTGCTCTTTTTCCATTGTCAATTGATGCTAAGTGATCGATTTCTTTTGCATTTTTTTTTTGTGATAAAAAAAAAATTATTTTTGTCATATAATGCATGCTTATACTTTTTTTTTTTTGTGGAATTTATGCAGGCAAAATGGTATTACTATGTACTTCTTGGGTTAGTAGATGTAGAGGCCAATTTTCTTGGTAAATCTTCCATACCAATGGTGTTTTTACACTGAACTTCATCTCTTAGAATTCAAAAGTGATAACATGTTCTGCGTAGTGCTCCGGCTAAAGTCAAATTGATAACATGTTCTGCTTAGTGCTCCGACTAAAGTCACATAACTCTGCTGAATGCAGCATTTTATTCAACTTGTTTTTTTGTTTTGCTGAATGCATCATTTTATTCAACTTGTTTTTTTGTTTTGCTGTAACTCCCTATATATCTCAAAGTAGTTATTTCCAGGGATGGAACTTTCATTTTGTTTCCACCGAAACGATCGTAATGCTCGATTTCCATGGAACCCGAAACAAATCAGTGAATGCATATCAAGACTCTTGTGCTTTGAGGTGTTTCGAGGAGTTTTGGAATGTGTGAAGGTGTTTCGTAATGTTTTGGACACAAATTTCCAATTTTTTTCTATGTTTGCATTTCATTTACATTTCAAAGTTGACCAAAATTATGCATCAAAACAAAATTTTGATATTTTGATTACTGCTACTTTTAGTATGTTACATATTGCCCCTGGAATTTCTAATGCAGACAAGTGCAAAGAACACCACCTACAAAAGCCACTATTGTAACCAATAAAGGACTGTTGTAAAATGTGGTATTATGACCACTTATATTTCTTTCCTTTTTTGTAGGTAATTAGGATTTCTAAAGGGTAGGAAAGGGAACTGTTATGGTTCAGCAAATGGCCATGTTCAAACCTCAATTATCCCACTCTAACATAGTTGTCAAATCTCAACTCAACAAAGCCTCGTCACATCCATCTCAACAAATTCTTATTTATTTATTTCCGAATGTCCTCTATCATAAAATGTTGTTGGTCTAATGACACTCTTATAGAACTTACCTTTCAACCCAAGAAGTATACGTCAATCATCAAAATAAATTAAGGAAATAGGTTAAGTGAGGAGATGCGAGGTAACCAGCCATTTTCAATATGTGAATGGTGCCTGTGAACAATGACAAGGGCCGGTTATATGAAATTTCAAATGATAGGCAGAATATTTAAGTAAGCTTGTTGAGGCTGTAAAATAGGCTTTGAGAAGGGTAGACCGCATGTAAACAGAGAAGAGAAGAGTAGAAAATAACAAGGGCTGGTGTGAGGCCTGAATGCAGAAGGTAGGCAGTACAAATGTTAGCCCTTATGCATCACTTATTGCATTGGAAATGCATCCAATATTTTTCAAGAAGCATTGTTGCTTGAAAATTTTATTTGTTGAAGTATAAATACTTAAGTTACACTTTCTCCAATAACTTAAGCGCTTGGAGTAGATAGTTGTTAAACATGGTATCAGATTTCCACGTGTTAGACCTAAAATCTAGCCTGCAAGTGGGGTGTGCAAGTGGGGGTGTGTTGAAGTATAAATACTAAGTTACACTCTGTTCAATTTAACCTTTTGGAGTAGATGTTTATTTAAGACAAGTTGAGCTTTTAGAGTAGATGTTTATTTAAGATTATTTAAATTGGATATCAATTGAAATTAAGAGCATCACTAGACACTAGCTATTTATGGACTTTTAGGTCATTCTCGCTCCAATTTACTTGGCCTTAAGTTTTTTCAGAAACTCAGATTTTGTCTAGTATAGACTATGTACACCCGAATTGCTTACAAATTTAGGATGTATGCATTTGGAAAACCAATATGATTAATCAATTATGAAATTAGATGGATTTGCATGGAAATTTTTCCAGTTTTGCCTTCAAAGTAATGGAGATATTCCATTGTCCTTGGGGAATACTTGGTTTGACGGAAAAAGCATTGAGGAGCTTACTAGGTGGCTAAAAGTAAAAAATAATCTTTCACACAGACACAGTTTCTTTAGTGGATTTGAACAAATTAATTGTCACTGGAGCTAATTTTATGTGGTTTTCTGTGCAGTGGTGAAAGCATATCAGTATACATCCATAACAAGTGTTATGCTGCTAGATTGTTGGTCAATCCCATCTGTCATATTTCTTACCTGGTTTTTCTTGAAGACAAAATACAGATTTAGGAAATTTGCGGGTGTTGCTATTTGTGTTGCTGGTCTTGTGTTGGTAGTTTTTTCAGACGTACATGCAGCAGGTCGATCAAGTAAGTAAATTCTGTTTTAGCCTGTTGAGTTCTTAATTTCATAATAGGTTCTTGCATTCCTAGATTTCTTGGTTAAATACTGTGTCACATAATTGTTTTGCACTAGTAATTCTTTTAGTTTTCTTACTTTCTTACTGACATATACTTCTTAGTTTTCCATTTGGATGCTGAATTTTATGTATTATTTTTCTGGACTTTTCTGCTGTTTCCAATTCACGTTTGCAACACCTACCAAAAAAGTTTTACAGTTGTAACTGGTGAACGATTGAAAAGTCTCTTTGTCCAGCGTGGCTTTCTAAGAGGACTTTGTGTTCACAGTTCTAGAAAATTTGTGAATTGTAATTTTGTAAATGAAGGAATTAGGTTGGTAGCCACAACGACCATGGGCTTAGATCAGGTGGTATCACTTGCCCTCTTGATGTAGGTGTGCAAATGAAACAAGCCGAATATTTAGTTGTTCAAGCGCTGCTCAGCCAATGACGCCGAACAAAATAGTGATTATTCTGCAGGCTAGTTTCAACAGATAATTCACAGTGAAGAATACAAGAGGATTGTCCAAAAAAACTGATTAAGCAGCCACAATCTTTATAAAATTAGAATAATAAGAGTTCACCGTAAAACACATGAAAACATCCTTTAAATAATAAACAATAAGCTAGAAACCCTAATTACGCAAAGAATAATTAAATTACAAAAAAATCTAAATAAACCCAAACTGGAAAAACTTCAGAAGGCTCAAACACGTATTTTCAGACCTTTTTTGGGCTTTTAATGGTGTCTGTCACGGCCTTTGCCGTGATTCTTGTAGGGCTCTTCGTAAACTTCGATTTGATATATTGTAGGTTGCGTAACTCCAAACGGATCAAAAGTTATAGTCAAAATAGTGTTAACCCTTCTTAGACTTGGGTTTGCCATCTTTGCGCTGATTTGCTAACTCAAGGTATCTCAGCGCCATCAACGTGTCATCTGATAACTCAGCATTATCTAACTCGGATCCTCCTGCATCAGTCGCCCCAAGTTGGAAGGAAATCGTCCTCGAGTTCACAGTAACATCATCGAAATCCACAAAACAAGGATTCAGATGTTTGACATTAAAAACATCAGAAGTCCTCAAATGACTAGGGAGACACAGCTTGTAGGCGTTGTCATTAATCTTCTATAGTATCTCACAGGGTTCAATCTTCCGCTCCTTAAGCTTATTATTCTCTGCAACTGGAAAATGATCACGAGTTAATACCGTCCAAATAAAATCACCAACATCAAAAAGTACTTGATGACAATGACTGTCGGCCCGAACCTTGTACTTGAAATTGCTCTCGTGAATGGCCAGTTTCACCTGCTCATGGATGCCCCGAAGATGTTCTGCCATCTTATCTACCTTAGGACTCAAACGACCTACACATGGAATAGGGGCTAAGTCCGGCAACCCCGGATGGATTTTGACCATAGACAATCTCAAATGGGTTCATTCCTGTGGTTCTGTTCTTCGATCTGTTATAGCCAAATTCTGCCAGAGGTTACGCCATATCCCAATGCTTTGGTTTAAATTTTTGCCAAACACCTCAAAAGGTTGCCCAAACTCCAGTTCACCATCTCAGTCTGACCATCCGTCTGGGGTGGTAGGCACTGCTGAAATTCAACTGTGTCCCCAATTTCTCCCATAAACTCCTCCAAAAATGACTCATGAACTTGGTGTCATGATTTGAAGTGATTGATCGAGGAAAACCATGTAAACGCACAATCTCCCTAAAATAGAGATGGGCAATCCGGGCAGCATCCATTGTTTTCCTGCATGGGCCATCTTGGAAAATCTGTCAACCACAACCAAAATAGAATCTAAGGTCTGTTAGGTACGGGGTAAGCCCAACACAAAGTCCATACTGACATTGAACCAAGGGGCCTTAGGAATAGGTAAAGGAGTGTACAGGTCTACATTAGTGAGAACTCCCTTGGACCGCTGACACACATAACAACGCTCCACATAATGAGCCACGTCAACCACAACCAAAATAGAATCTAAGGCCCGTTGGGTACAGGGTATGCCCAACACAAAGTCCATACTGACATCGAACCAAGGGGCCTTAGGAATAGGTAAATGAGTGTACAAACCCGCATTAGTGAGAACTCCCTTGGACTGTTGACACACATAACAACACTCCACATAACAACGCTCCTCGTAGTGAGCCACGTCCTTGGGCAATTTGGGCCAATAATAGTCAGAAGAGATCAGGGCCAACGTATTATCTCGCCCAAAGTAACCCTCGTTGTGAAGTTCACTAATAATCTGCTGCCTTAGTGAACAATCTGGAATACACAACTATAATCCGCGAAACAGGTAACCATTATGCAAAATAAAATCATGACATTGACCATCAATTACCTCCTAAATTATCCTTCCGAAAGAAGGATTTGTTGCATACATATCAATGAAAGCCTCAAATCTTGCAACTTTGGTTCTCATGGTGGTGAGGAGTAACGTACGACGGCTCAGTGCATTTGCAACACGATTCAGACTCCCTGCTTGGTGCCTTAACGCAAACGTGAACTCCTGCAAGTACGCCACCCATTTGGCATGCCGTCTACTCAGCTTGTGCTGGCCATTGATGTACTTCAGAGCCTCATGATCAGTGATAAGAATGAACTCCCTCTGTATTAGGTAGTGATGCCAATGTTTCAGGGACTGAACTATAGCATAAAACTCCAAATCATAGGTGGAATAATTCTTCTTTAACCCTAATAACTTCTCATTGAAAAAAGCTATGGGGCACCCCTCCTGACTCAAAACAGCACCAATGCCAACCCCAGATGCATCACAATTTACCTTAAACACCTTTTCAAAATTAGGAAGCGCCAAAACTGGTGCCTCTGTCATCTTCTGCTTGACAAGTTGAAAATTGGCCTCTGCCTCCTCAGACCACTGGAAATCACGTCTCTTGAGGCACTCTGTAATAGGGGCAATCAGGGTGTTGAAGCTTCTAATGAGCCCGCAGTAAAAGGACGCCAATCCATGGAAACTTCTGACATCGTGTAAGGTCTTTGGTTTGGGCTACTCCAAGATCGCATCTATCTTTGACTGATCTACATGAACACCATCAGTAAACAACAAAACCAAGAAAGGTTACAAAGGTAGTGAAGAAAGAACACTTCTTCTGATTGACAAACAGGTGCTCCGTCTCAGCATATCAAAACAGCACGGAGGTGCTCAAAGTGTGATACCCATGTCGGGTTATAAATGAGTATATCGCCAAAGTAAACTACAACGAATTTTCCTATAAAAGGTTGTAAAACCTGATGGCGCATTGGACAACCCAAAAGGCATGACCATCCACTCATACAACCCATGTTGCGTCTTAAACGCTATCTTCCACTCATCTCCAGACCTTATTCTAATTTGGTGGTATCCGCTTTTAAGGTCAATTTTTGAGAAAACCTTAGAACCGGATAGTTGATCTAACATGTTATCCAGGCGGGGAATTGGAAATATGTATTTCATAGTAATCCGGTTGATTGCTCTGCTGTCAACACACATATGCCAAAAGCTATCTTTCTTCGGCACCAGTTTACTGGCAACTGCTGCACCTATGCTGGTAAATCTGGGTCCATGTCTGCTACACTATTCCCACACGGCAGTAGAGCATAGACCACGTCTCCACGCTTAATCTCAACTAAAACCTTGGACATAGAAAACAGGTTAGTATTATTAGCTACCGGGGTAGGAGTGGCTCCTTCCCAACAAGGCGCCAACATAATCTTCTTCCCTTTGATGGTAACAAAATATGTATTTTTTTGCCCATCATGAACAAGACTGTGATCGTACTGCCAAGGGCTGCCTAATAATACATGGCACGCATCCATAGCCACAACATCACGCCAAGCGTTATCAAAATATTTTCTACTGATCAAAAAAGACACTAGGCATTGCTTATCTACTTTTACCTCACTTATCTCATTGCCTTTATTTAGCCACGACAATTTGTATGGCTTGGGATGACGTTTTGTCTTCAATTACAATTTTTGAACAGTCTCTTCAGACACTACGTTCTCACAACTGTCACTGTCAATGATTATCTTGCAGACTTTATCTGCAACTGTGTAGGTCGTGTGAACAATATTGGTTCTCAACCAATCATGTCCTGAATCGCCCTTGTGAGTCAGTAGACTCTTGCAAACACCCAAAGTCTCATGGCCATCTCCATACATCGCATCTCCATCTTCATCATCATCACACACAGACTTCCAACCTTTTCAGTTTCATCTACCATGTCTTCCTCAATCAGGAGATTTTTGCCATCTAACTTGCAAGCTTCATGCACTCTGTCGCTCTATGTCCCTATTCCCCACATCTGAAACATCTAATATTAGAGTTAGAATTACCTTGCGGTTGCTACTGAGTAGGACGGGATTCTTGAGGACGAATTGGCCGACTGCCTTGATCGCTTCTGATCACTGGCTTCCTGTTCTATTGTTTTTCCACAACAATTGCACACTGGTATGCTTCAAAAAGGGTCCACAGCGAGTGAAGACTGAAGACATCGTGCAGGGGCTATCGTAATCCCCCTAAATATTGCGCCACCCTCTGCTCTTCCGTCTCAAATAAATCATTCCGGACTATCAATTGATAGAAATTCTCCGTGTAATCATCAATCGACCTCGCGCCTTGCCTTAACGAATGGAGTCATTGAAACAAGGTTTGGGTGTAGCCAAAAGGAAGGAAGTGTCCCTTCATCTTCTTCTTCATCCTCTCCCAATCAGTGATCTTGGCTTTGCCCTGCCTCTTTCTCGTGATCGCCTCAACTGTTCCCACCACGTAGATGCTCTGCCTTTGAGTTTGATAGTGACCAGTTTCACTTTGACACGATCTGGGACTTTCTTATAATCAAAAATATGTTCTACTTCATTTAACCAATTGATGAATCCTTCGGCCTATAACTTACCAGAAAACTCAGGTATATCCATTCTGAAACCGAAGTCTCCATGACGATCCTCCTGACCACGGTCCTCCCAGAATTGAGCATGATTGTGATACGGGTTTTCGAAACTGGAATTGGAATCGTGATCTTCCATCTCATAATCATCGAAATCCTGCGCCGGTAGACGTCGGGTTAACTCTGTAACTTGCCTCTGCAAATCCTCAATCATCACATCCTGAACACTATGATCACGGTGTGACGCTTCCTCGTTCGAAACCTGCCCACGACGACCACGACCACTAGCCATTGACACTGATGAGATCTCACCCTAGGAAGATGCTGAAGCTCTGATACCAACTGACGTCGAACAGAATAGCGATTATTCTGCTGGCTAGTTTCAACAGATAATTCATAGCGAAGAACACAAGAGAATCGCCTAAAAAAATTGACTACGCAGTCACAATCTTTATAAAATTAGAATAATAAGAGTTCACCCTAAAACACATGAAAATATCCTTTAAATACTAAACAATAAGTTGGAAACCTTAATTACGCAAGGAATAATTAAATTATGAAAAAATTCAAATAAACCCAAAACTGAAAAAATTTCGGAAGGCCCAAACACATGTTTCTAGGCCTTTTTTGGGCTTTTAACGGTGTCTGTCATAGCCAAAGGCTATGTGTCTTGTAGGGCTCATCGTAAGCTTTAATTTGATATATTATGGACCTTGTAATTTCAAACGGATCAAAAGTTATGGTCAAAATAGTGTCAACCCTTCTTAGACTTGGTCTGCCATCTTTGCGCTGATCTGCTAACTTAAGGTATCTTAGCCCCATCAACATGCCATCTGATAACTCAGCATCATTTGACTCGGATCTTACTGCATCAGCCGATTATAAAAAAAGTTCGGAATTGGCTTGGGATCTAGTGAGTCGATTTAAATTTCTTCACTCTTGGCTCATGAAATTTTTCCCAAGCTCAAGGATTGCCTTGGCTTGGCTTGATTCTCTAAGAAGATTCCAAGGTTCTCTAAGAAGATTCCAAGGTTACGCAATACCCCATGCACCAGCATTCAAGATATAACCAGCCAAAGGCCTTGGTTGAATAGGCACCTCCAGCTGCTCCTTTACGCTGTAGTTTCGTTGGGGATTGGTTCCCATTTGAAACATTGGTCTGGGTGCTTACTTGCTTTAAAAGGCGCCCCAGTCTCTTGTATTTCTCTGTCTTTTTAAGGTGGGATAGTTGTTTTACAACATCTCTATTGTATGCGATCTGGGACTCTTTGCTTATTTTCCTTAACATGTAAAATCCTTACTGTATTGATATATATTAAAAAATGTAATACAGATTATGTATTTATAAACAAGCTCAATTTGTTCATGAATGTAATGAGCTGAACAAGACATTGTTCAAGCTCGGCTCATTTATTAAACAACCTCTAAAATGGGGCTCAAGTTTGTTCCATTTTATAAATGAATGAACTTGAACAAGCTCCTATACGAGCCTATGCTAAGTTGTTCATGAGTGTGAACAGTTTGCTTCATCTGCAACCATACCACTATGGAAGAAGTAGGCCTTAGGACCAATTGGGTTGGGTTGGACCTGGTTAGGGTCCCAGCCTATAGGCTAGAATTGGGACAAAATGACTGAAAGAAGAAAAGCTTGGTAGTTGGAGTGTTAGCAGTCCTTATAAGCCTATTTACCCATATGCCAGGGCATTCTTGTTGGAGTATGGTCTTGAGTCTTCAATGCATATGTCAACTTGTATACTTATTGTGATAAGATAAATAGATAATGTAATGTGGTGTCTGTAAATTCTTAAGTTCGTTACGCATGTGCAATGAAATTTTTATTTCTGGTCTAGATACATGGCTTGAAAAGTGAAAAGCTACTCTTTAGACTACCTAAGGCCTCTTCAACTAAGCAATCGCATACTGTTTAATAATAATTAGCCTTGCTCATAGTGAGTGGCTTCCACACCGTGCTTCTAGATTTGGGAATGGATGGCCTAGATCCTTTTGGAGCTCTTTAATTCGTAGCAGATAGTGATTTCACGTTTTGCTACATCTGCTGGAGTGCTCCTTGTTTAATATTTCTCACATAATAACAAATGAGGAGTTTTTGTAACTTATGGTGGAAAAAAATAAAAAAGTAATACATTTTAGTTCCATCTCTCTTAAAGGATTTTCCAGTTTCATTTACACTACTTTTCTTCGGTTTTCAACTGAACAAATGGACTGAAGCTAAAACACTGTTCTTTCAATAGGAAAGCACCAATTTTTGTTCCACAAAAGTATTGTATTATGTTTTTAGATTTTTTGTAATTTGATCCGGAATGCTTTAGGCGACTCCTCATATTCTTAGGAGAATAGACTGCACAATTTAGGATTGATAGGCATTACCAACCTCTTCCACAGAGGTTGCTTGAATGCTAGGAGCAATGGCACCACTTTTGTAGTTAAGGAAACCAAGAAGTAACCTCTCTGTCTTTATGTGCTATTCTCCCTTTTTGCATCTTGACATGCACATTAATTTAAACAGGAAGTCACTGGTTTAGTAGTTAAAATTTGGTCCAATAACTTTGAGATAGGGGGTTTGAATATGAGGGCAATCACTTTGTGTAAATAATGGCAAAAATTAGATCCAACTCTAATGTACCCATCCTAGACAGCTAGACCCCCATTAATGTGGACTAAACGGGGTGTTATTTATACATTAATACGTATATTAAATTATTATCAGCAATTATTTTTTCATTGGAAATTCTAAAAATGGAGGATTGATAACTTTGTTTGATCAACTCTTTCCAAACACACACAATATCATCACATCAAATATTTTCCCATGACAATCTAGTGTTCCTGCACACCAAATAGGTACGAGAAGTTATCCACCATGAGAATATGGATGAGCGAGCTTCTAATATGAAAGGAATATGTAAGGTTATGTTACATGAATATTCTTAATTCTGCCATTTGGTCACCTTCGAACGTTGATGCTTATTACTGCTTAAGTGAAAGAAGTCGGCCTTTACTTTAGCTGCCATTTGATCTGTTTTTCTTCTAAACCCCTCGGCAGTAGAGTTTTGGTAATTCAGTTTTTATTCTAGAACAATTCTTGGTTCCTAAGTTGCCTGTCAATTTTTCCATTTGATTTGGTTCTTTTGCTTTGATGTGTATCTATGTCCTGAAATCATCTGTACTAAAATTACAAGTTTTATCATGGCTGTAGGTGGGAGCAACCCTTTTAAAGGGGACATGCTTGTTATTGCTGGGTCTATGCTTTATGCCATCAGTAATGTTAGTGAGGTATTTACACTACTCTTCATCATAGGGATAAATGATGTCCAGTTTGCAAGCTCTTAATTGATTTTGTAATGCCATATATTGTTATAAAGAAGTTCTTTTGACCTTGTAAAGAATATTGCTGTTTGAATTGATATTCTGGCCATATCTCCCAAGTCCTGATCCTAGTGACTTACTCAAAATTTTTGTGCATGTTTCTTCCTTATCTACAAATCTGCTCTAACTCCAATTTCCTTGGTTGTAAGCATCAGAGCTTGTCTAAGCTATTTCACAGTCTCAGGCTGGTTTTGCTTGTAAGTGTGTCTAACTGAACCTAGACAGTTCCACTTGCATCCTCAGTGTTTCAAGTGAGAAAGTGCAATTAGATCTCTAAATGGTGATGTAAATGATAAAGTCATTAAATGGACTCTCTCTCTCTCTCTCTCTCTCTTTGTTTGTGTGGGTGCGCATGTTTGTGCATGCATGTTAGACTCTCACATTCTACTGCTTGTTCAGAATTTCCTGATGGAGATGATTAATAATAACTTATGTCATAATTTTCCTTTTAATGGGCCCTGTCATTTGCTTTCAAGGGGAACTGTGAAATAAAAGCAAATATTTCTTTTATACATCTTTCCGAGACAGTTGGCTATACCACCTGCCGGGAGTTCAAACAGTCAGTTCAATGCATGAAGCTGACACCCATTGTGTGTGCTTTAGTTACCAATTATTCTTACTTTATATGGTCACAGTTCAATGCATGAAGTTTACACCCATTGTGTGTGCTTTAGTTACCAATTATTTTTACTTATTTCTTGAGGTGGAAAGAATGTATCAAGATTTCACATCATTAATCCAGGTTTGTATGGCTTCTGCAGGAGTTCCTTGTTAAAAGTGCTGATAGGATTGAACTCATGGCACTGCTGGGGCTTTTTGGTGCTATTATCAGTGCTTGCCAAATGTATCCTTACTTGCAGTGTTTGGGATTTTCTGATCATATGTAACATGCACGATTTATTGTTTGTGTTTTGAGTGTGATTGCTAGTTCTTGCTTAAAGTTTAAATATGCTCTGATCTTGGTTATTTAGTTACTCAATAAGTATGCCATTTTGATCTTTGTATCTGGAGATAATGTTACGTTATAACATATATAAACTTCTGAAATCATTTATTGCTATTCTTTCAACATGCTTTCTTTAACCATGTCTATAGAAGCATTCTTGAACGTAATGAGGTCAAATCTATCCACTGGTCAATGGGGGCAGTAAGTCTCTGGTTCATCTACCTTCCAACATAAATAAACAGTCTTGTTTTTACATACTTATCTCCTCTCCCCCCCCAACACACACACAACACACACGTCTCCCTCAAGGTAGACCATATCTAGATTGTTGAAGATCGAATCAAAAAAAGAAGTAACACGTCTTTGTCATCAACTATCTCCACATCCCATTAAGTACTCTCTGTGGCAGTATAGACATCCATAGGTTACTTGTGAAATGAATATTAAATAAGCTGGTTCACATAACTTGTTTTAATCAACTTAAGGCCTATGAAATATGGTTTTGCAGTGCATAATTTAAAATTCTTTTCGTATATTCAGTTTAAAATTAACATAATATTTTGAACTTTTTTTGCCAGGAAATTTATAGCTGCACCTTATTTTTGAGCCTGTAGGCCCCATACAGGCAAAAGCAGAGCCACCAATGGGCCAATGGGTCCTGGCCTGACCCTATATATTAAATTTGTATGTGCATATATCATATTACTCAAAAATATTTTGTTTTGCCCACAAATTACATTCCTGCTTTAGTATTGCTTCTCTAAGAATATGAGCTGTGATTGACTATAATAGCATGTTATGTGGTTTTCATTGTGTTAAGGCTTTCTTCAGTTGATCTTGATTTGCGTATTTACAGTTCTTTGGATTCCATTTTTTTAATTTAAACGTGAAATTTCTTGCAATTAACCTACGCTCGGCCTCCTCTATGTTTTTTTTGTGACTGTTGATTGTCTTATTTCTGTTGAGTTTCAATGGTATAGCTATGCTTACTTCTTAAATTTTACTTACGGTTTGCTATTATTATATCTTAATGATAATGCTTAAAAAATAGTTTGTCAAAAAAGTTATAAAATTGATCAGGTTCCAGTCCCACTGTGGCTGTCTCTGTTACTCTGTAGCATTGCCTTTTCCAGCCAAAAACCTAATTTTAAAATTTGAGTTTGTAAAAGTGCGGTTGCGTAACCAAGTGAGTGACCAATAGGCTATCACTGCCTTGATTGTATACTACCAGTGCTTTCAAAATCTGAAACTCGTTGGGCTGATTGGAAAGAACTGTAATTAGACTTACCTTTTTGTGAAGGGATGTAAATTAGCCTCTTTTTGTTGTTGTTTTCTCTTTGTACACACCATGTATGTTGGCTTTTGACCCTTTTTGTTTTTGAAGCTTCAAATCCATCATGATGCGTATGAGCATCTGTAAAGTATATGGAGAGTGGTATAAATTTAAATTGTAAAGAGTTGTTATGAATGTATTATAACACTTTGTAGATATGGGATGATGAATTTTAACTGCGGAAATAGACAAAGATGGATGTACTTTCACCCAAATCATACTGTGAAGAACTGCCTAAGTTTAGATTTCCATGAACAACATTTATAAAGATCAAGGTTGAGTGATCCAACATTTTAATTTTTCTTGATTAACTCTCGCAAAGCGTGACCCTCCCCTCTTCGGGTGGAAAAAGGGGGGGGGGGGAAGGGGAGTTTGCATGTTCTCAACAATCGTTTAAGGTTTTGGGAGCGGATTCCGTGTGAAAGGAATTTGAGGATATTTCTCTTTTGCATTTACTCCAGTTGACAAGCCTCATGTGGAATGAGTTTTGTTTTCTTTGTTTTTGTTTTTTCTTTAGTTTTTTTTTTTTGTTGTCTGTGGTTTAGACTACTAGTCCACCATGAAATTTCTTTTGTATTTTTTGTTTTATATTATTAATGAAATTTTTGTTTCCTATCAAAAAAAATTTCTCCAATATCTTGTTTACGTAATTTATTATCTTTCATAAGATTTGTTGTTGATGGTAATCTTATGAAATTGGAGTATGGTAGAGAAAGAGAATAACCGTTGTAGTGAAACAGAACGATATATGATGTTTGCTATTTAGGTTACAAATGTTGTGCCTATTGAACTTTGAAAAGATTCACTAATCTTCTTGTTTTTATTTTTTTGACAGAATTATTTTCTGCCAATGATATTCATGGGAAGAGTATTTTTTCATGCTTTGTGAAATTTGGTTTCAGGTGCTTCCATTTGTTGGATTTTCAGTGGCTATGTTTCTGTTTTACTCATCTGTTCCAGTCTTGCTGAAGGTATGGACGTGTGTGATCTAGAGTTTCCTTGTTTTGGATGTGTACTTGTTACCAATAAATATTGCTGGTATAGGGCACGCACAGGGTGGAGATATAACATTAGTCTGAAGGAAATGGTTGATCACGTCAGAATCATTACCTATGCAGAAGATCCTTTTGAAGTTTTCCTCTTTTTTGTCATTCAAAATTGGCCCTCTTAGTTCTCTTTTCTTCTTCTTCTTCTTCAGAGAAATCTAATTTAGGTTGAAAGTGCCTAGGAGGACTAGATAGAGGATTTAAGATTTGAATAAGAATGTTATCATGGATGATTGGCCAGACCGAAATCAATATGAATGTATTGATGAGTGGCACCAACCGAAAATCAGATCATGGAAGTTGGTCCGATGATATAAACATGTGAAATAAATACCAAAGAGTGCATTTGTACAAAGGAGTGGTTTCATTAAGTTGAAGGTGCCAGAAGGGAGGAATTCTGCAATGACATTGGTTCTTGAAAATTTCTGTGGGGAAGCATATGTTCATGATATTATGGAAGCATTGATACTTTCCCCTGGCAAACAATTCCTTAGACGTGAGCCTGTTATATTTTCAGTAACAAACTCTATTACGTTCAAGTTGTGGAGGTTCTTCACTTTTTCTTGGAAAGTGGCATTACATTTCTAATTGATTTGAAGTGTCTTCACTGCAAAGTTGCATATTAAAATCAATGGAATTCTTGTCATTGATTAGGAAGTTACTAATAACTCGAATTTGTTACTCAGTTGACTAATCTATGACATTTTGTGCATGTTTGCTATGGACCATTTCACACACTAATGTTTCTATTACGTGGTTTCTTCTAAAGTTCTTTCTTTTCTTTGCAGATTAGTGGGTCCACAATGCTAAACCTGTCTTTACTGACCTCAGACATGTGGGCCGTTCTGATTCGCATATTTGCATACCATGAGAAGGTTAGCGGAACAATAAATTTAAAATATTTTACAACCAAAGATGATGTTGTTTGGAATCAGCATTGCCCGTCTGAGGTGAATATTTTCTCGTCAGGTTGATTGGATGTACTTCATAGCCTTTGCTGCAGTTGCTGTTGGCCTTGTTGTTTATTCAGGGTATGTAAAATTTCAGTCATAGTGGGGACTTTTTGCCCACATCTAGTAGTTAGAAATTTTGCTTATACAACCGACCATAGAGCAACTCAAGTTTTAGCTCATTATTCAGCTGGTTTAAGCATGTTTACAAACTTAGTATGCCAGGGTCACGTGTAAAGGAGCTTGTCTTAATAAAATAAGCTTGTAATTTGTAGTACAAACATCGGTCATATATTTTGTAGGTATAAAAATCAGATCATTTGACACAAATGTTTCCCTTTCGCTAACATCATTGAGGTTGTGGGTTCAAATATGTGGCCAGCCATTTTGTGCAAATAATGCCAAATTTTAGGTTTATACGCAGTCCATCCCTTCCTAGCACCATCGATTTGCAGAGACTAAATTGGGTAATGACTTCAGTTATGACCCTTTTTAACATGATGCATTAGTCTTGTCAACAAGCGGTAAAGCTGACTTGAGTTGCATCAGGATTAGTTGAGCTTGGATTATGAACAAGCTTCCCCTTAGATTCTAACACAGCAGAACAAAGAATACAAAGAAAACACCGTTTCTAAGTATATAGAACAAAGGTACTCTGAATCTACAAAGAAAGGAACAAAAGAATACATTATTCAATAAATAAGTCGTAAAACATAAGGGAATATATATAGGAATGATCAAAACCCTAATCGTTCGTTCTCATAATAGAGGCAAAATCCTTAATTATACAAAAATTACCAAAAATAAAAATTGCAATCTAACTAATAAATATAAAAGTACGCGTCCTCTGTAGTCTAACAAAATTAACGACACTTGATTCATTATTAATTTTTGAATTCTTTCGTAAAATGACAAAAATGGGTTTTGAGGTCTAAACGATGAAATTCGACCCAAAACTAAAGGAGCTCATGGAAAAGTGATAAGTCTTGATCATTGGCCCGATTCGGATCAAAGTCCACTGATCTCAATAATTTTGAGTTTAATCCATTTTGCCTCTACTCGCCCTCGAGTTAACTTGTGGAAGCTCTACGGAATCAGAATGAACCTCGAACAAGTCTTGCACCATTAAAAGCACTAGAGATGCCCATATCTGCTTAAGGATCAACAAGATAAGCATTGCCATTGATCTTTTTTAAGATCTGAAAAGGACCAATCTTCATTTGGTTGAGCTTGTTGTAAGACCCAATTTGTAACCTCTTCTTGTGCCGGTGAATCATAACCTTGTCTCCAACCTTAAAAATCTTTTGTCGGCAATGCTTGTTTGCTGCCTCCTTATATTTAGCTGCAGATGACTCTAATTGTTGACTTACCTCCGTATGCACATCTGTCAGCTTCCCAAGCATATGCTCAGCCTTGCTAGTGGATCTGCTAGGGATATTATTGTAGGCAAACTCTGTTTGGGATAAAGTATTATCCCACTGCTTTGGATATTCCTTGCAAAGGCTTCACAGGATATTCTACGGGGTGCAATTCACCACTTTTGTTTGCCCATCAGTCTGTGGATGACTCGAGTTGCTCTACTACAACGAAGTATCCAACTGTTTTTACAAAGTCCCCCAGAAATGGCTAAGGAACTTGCTGTCATAGTCGGAAGTAATGGTCTTTGGTATAACATTCAAACAAGCAAGTTCTCGTAAGAACAAGTGGTCAACATGAGAAGCATCTGAAGTTTTCCTGCATGAAATAAAGTGTGCCATTTTGGAAAACCTGTCAACCATAATATATAGAGTCTATACCATGTTGAGTTCGTAAAAGACCCAACACTAAGTCCATGGACAGATCCTCTCACGGTGCATCTAGAATAGGTAAAGGAGTGTAGAGTCCGGTATTTTGTTCATGTCCCTTAGCAGTCTGACATTTGTAGCACCGCTTAACAAACCTCTCCACATTTCTCTTCAGCTGGGGCAGAAGCAACACTTTTCAACCAAAGCAATGCTTTTATCTCTGCCCATGTGTCCTTCTAAGCCACCACTGTGAAGTTCCCAAATGATATGCTCACGTAGGGATCCTTAGGGAATGCAATGTCGAGTAGCTTTGAACAAGAAGCTCTTATGGACCTGAAAATCCCTTAAGACTCCACGTGTAACCGAGCACTGGGCCCAGATCTGTTGAAAGTCCTCATCTCCGTCATACAACTCTTTCAAATAGTCAAAGCCAATTAGCTTATTATGAACAGTAGTTAGCAACATAGTACGCCAACTCAATGCATCCGCTACCTTATTTAACTAGCCAGACTTATGCTTTAGGGTGAAGGAGAATTTATGAATTTCTGCCACCCACAACGAATGCATACGGTTAGGGATAGTAGAACTGTTACGGTATTTCAATGCCTGATGGTCGGTATTTTGAAGGATTTCCTTTAAATCAGATAATGTTGCCAATGCTATAAAGCTCTGACAATCGGATAGAACTCTTGCTCGTAGGTAGACAATTTTTGCCTCACCTCACTAACCTTTTCACTAAAGAAAGCCACTGATTTGTCCTCTTGGGACAAACCTGTTCCAATATCTGTACAAGAAGGATCACAATCTACCTCAAATAACTTCTCAAAGCTAGGTAATGCCAACACAGGAACTGTGAAGAGCTTTTTCTTACGCAGCTGGAAGCTCTTTGCTGCCTCCTCAGTCCACTGTAACTGCCTCTGCTTCAGGCAATCAATAAGTGGTGTTGCACTAGTGCTAAAATTTCTTACAAACCTTCGATAGAAGGTTGCAAGGTCATGAATGCTGCGAACTTCATTGATTGTCCGCAATGTGGGCCACTCCTAAATAGCCGAATTTTCTCATCATCCACCAAGATCCTTGTAGCATTAATCAGATAGCCTAAGAACACCAAGCAATTAATCATGAACTGCACTTCTTAAAGTTCACAAATGGGCTGACTGCAAAAACTGCTTTCAAGTGCTGCAAGTGGTCAGTCTCATTACAACTATAAATCAATATATCATCAAAATAGACAACTACAAACTTTCCAATGAAAGGTTTGAACACATGGTTTATAACCCTCATGAACGTACTAGGAGCATTAGACAAATCAAAGGGCATGACTAACCATTTGTACAACCCCTCATTCGTTTTAAAGGCAGTCTTCTACTCATTGCTAAGTCGGATATGGATCTGATTGTACCCGTTCTTCAAGTCAACCTTGGAGTACACCTTAGCACACTGAAACATATCTAGCATGTCATCAAGCTAAGGTATATGGAATCTATACTTCACAGTGATCCCATTGATGGCTCGGCTATCAACACACACTTGCCAACTCCTATCCTTCTTAAGAGTGAGTAAAAGCAGGAACAACACAAGTGCTCATACTCATCCTGATCTGTCTTTTCTGCAGCAACTCATCCACTTGTCCTTGTAATATTTCGAATTCCTTGGGACTCATTCAATAATGGAGCAGACAAGGATCAAAATATCGTCTTGAAGCGGTCAAAATATTCCAAACATTTCTATTTTCAAGGAGACCGAACGAATCAGAGATGAAATCAAAATTCTAATACTTCAAAATGTTTCATAATGTTTTAAAATATTGTTATATTTCAATGCATTTGTACAATTATTTTAAAATATTTCAAAGTATTTTAAGATCTTTTAGAATATTTCGACTAATGTTTTGAAAAATAATTCTTAAATATTTATTTTTTTTCATTCTGTTTTTGAAATGGGTTGAAACGTTTTCATTTTTTTTGTGACCAAAACAATACATCGAAACGAAATTTTAATCTTTGGGAGCTGGTTTGTAAGACTAGCCCTGAGCAACATGTCAATATGATGTTCGATGTCCTTTAGAGGGAGTAAGCCATTCTGTAACTCCTCCGACGTGATTCTCCGAAACTCATCAAGTAACAACTATAACAACTCTCAAGAGTTGGTTTAGGCTTAACAATCTGTTCTCCCTCACCCTTTATTACAAGGGCATGCACTTTTCCACTATTTTTTACGTCCTCCTCGATGGCAAGAACAAGAAGAAAAGGTCCGCCCTTAGCCTGAGGTGCTACAGGACACCTCTTTCGTGTTGTAGGTATAAGGACAACCTTAACACTATCCTTGAAGAAGGTGTAAATATTATCTTTGCCTATATGGATGACATTTAAATCAGTATTTTAAAATTCGGCCCAATTCAGAGGGTTGACTCGATAAACCGGTGAACTAGACCTTAAACTGGGCCGATTCATTAGTCGGATCGTTTTAGCATTAAACCCACTCAAGACTCATTGAACCAGTCAGGTTTTGTCTAGCCCATTCAAACCAGACGATTATTATCAAACCGATCGAGTTTGTGAAACTCCTATAAAACCATTATTTTTTGCGAATTTTTGCCCTAATCCTCAAATCATCCCTTGCTCATGTCTTTCCCTCTCCCTTTCTCTTCTTTGCACTCTCATCTGTCTCTCTTTCTCCAATCATCTGTCACCGGATCATCAAGTCTAGAGCTTCTGTAGCAACAATTATTTTTGTCTCTTTCGGATGGTTCATTTCGAAGAAGATGAGAACATGTGGAAACTGTTTGTTGCATCGCAGCTCGCAGCGGAGGTCGAAGAGTCGCCGAAATAAGTGTTGTAATCAATAGACTTTATGAACCCACTAATGTTTTGTCTCTCGTAGTTTTTTGAACCCACTAGTTTTCTTTTATGAATCCACCAGTAAGCACGTGTCCTTTTAGATATAACATTGGACCATAGGGTTTTCAATTAAGTTTTTTATTTGAAATATTTTTTTGTTATTTTTTTTTTTTGATTCCTTTCTCCTTATGTTAAACTCGAGTCATTTTTCGCTTGTGCATTACTTACTGCTGTTTAAATTTGAGAGAGTACAAATCTGGTGGAGTATTCTTGGTTGGATTGATTGCATAATTTGAGTCTTAAATTGTGATGGAGGTATTTTTCTTTACTTAGTTGTATAAATTATCTTAAACATTGGATGTATTGAATACATGTTAGACAATTTTTGGATTTTTGTTTGATCTAATATCTAAACATACTATTTTTTAATTATTACAATGTTTTAGTATATTAATAATCATTTATATTTATTTTTTATTATATGACCGGTCAAAACAGGGGTCCAACGGTTGAATCAGCAAGCCATTAACCTTGTCTCTTTGTCAAGTTATGGTTTGGGTTGGGTTTAAAAACTATATAAATTATATTGCTACAATCTCCCCGACAGAATATAACATGCATCCATATCCACAACATCACACATAATATTATCTATATACTTGTCAATTGAAAAATGGATACAACGTTGTTATGCTACCTTGATTTTACTGATGCTTTTTATCTATCCGATGGTATAGGGGGAAGGGTGTTTCTCGGTCCATAGTTGTAGCTTGTCAACGACCTCCTAGGAGACAATATTCTCACTACTACCACCATCATACCACCATCAATAATCAGCTGACATACCTTCTGGTTTACGGTGCATGTCGTTCGAAAGATGTTGTCTCTGAATGTCCTGCTCGATCTTAGGGGTATACATCAGTTGATGAACGAGGGAGATCCCCTCATCACTATATGTCCATGCACTCTCGTCAAAGAATTGCTCCACCTTTACCAACTAGTCAACGAAATACTCAATATGAAGATGTCCATTGAAACTGGGTAGGTCAACCCTCATCTAAAAATCCTTGGACTCATGGCCAGGATCTCTGTAATTTGCAGCGTTATCTAAAAAATCATCATCGTCATCACTAGAACCTGCAATTGGTGCCGTTCTAGGAGGAACAACACGTATGATCTGTCTTGCTGGGTAAACAGGATTTTGATGTCGATTGGGTTAAACACAATCCCTATTGCCGTTCACCCTTTCTCGATCTGGATCATGGTTTGGACCCATCGTCAACTGGGCAACCATGTCTTATAGTGATTGCTAGAATTGTTGGGATTGTTGTTGTTGTTGTCGCTAGAAATCCAAGAATTTGGCTCTTGAGAAAGCCTTTCCATATGATCACCATCATTAGGAAGATTTTTAACACCTCATTGATTGGTCATCATACCAGGTTAATTAAGGCTCTGATACCAATTGACACAGTGGAACAAGAAACACAAAAAAAAAATCATTTCTAAGTGTATAGAACAATAGTACTCTGAATCCACAGAGAAATGAACAAGAAAATTTCTCTAAAAAAAATGTATATTATTCAATGAATAATTCGTATTACATAACAGAATATATATAGGAACAGTGAAAACCCTAATCGTCTCCACAATAGAGGCAAAATTTCTAATTATATGAAAATTGCCAAAAATAAAAAATTGTAATATAACTAATTAACATAACATGCATCGTTTGGAGCCTAACAAAACTAACTGCACTGAATTTAGAATTTTCTATGATTTATTATTAATTTTTGAATTCTTTTCGAAATGGCAAAAATGGGTTTTTGAAGGTCTAAACGATAGAATTCGGTCTAAAACTGAAGGAGCTCATGTCAAAGCGATGAGTTTTGATCGTTGGCTCGATTCGGATCAAACACCACTGGTCTCAATCAATTCCGCGTCCTACCCATTTTGCATCTACTATCACTTTTTTGCTTTTCGTTGGGCTTTAGACGCACGGCGGTCTTTTTGCTCCAAGTAGTCAGCCGCCACCTATTCCACATCAGATTTAACTTTGGCCCATATGCTGGAGCGATCCAACTTGGCTTGCGACACCTTTGCAATATATGCATACTCATAGACAGTCTGTTAGTAGACGTGCACGGAATGAGAAGAACTTATATTAAATCTTTTTAGCTCAAGTAGCCAAGCGAATGATAATAGAAAGCCTAAGCAGCAATTTTTCCTTTGGGAAAATTTCAGAAACAGACCATGGTCCAGAATAATCCTTTGGACTGTGGTCTTTTTGCATTGGATCACGTGCAGTGCTATGTTAGCAGATTTTACCAGCATGCATGCCCTATCTTTGCTGTTGATTCTGATTTGAGGTTATATTGGACCCTGATACCTGTGTTGACATTTCCAACTCCCCTTCCCGTGCACGCGAGTTGCCTGAAATGTGGTCATCTTGTTCTTTTGACATTTGAGGGTTGAGATTCTTCTTAAGTGTAGGTTTTCAGCCTTGGAACTGATATGATATGATTTATTTACCTATCTTGTGAAGTATCTTCACATGTTGGAACATATCTAGAGATGTTGTTAACTCAATAGGAATCTGTCTACGTGTAATATCTTGTCTGACTTTTTGCGCTAGAGACATCTAGCATGCCCACAAGAGCTTGGTCATTCCATTAAGTATTTTGACCAACGCAAATGCTGAGTTACCTTCTCTTCTTCATGGATCAATTGGCCATATCTTTTGTGTTATTGACAACCCATTATACTCAAACTGCAACCCAGCTTGCAGATGTTTTTGCACCTTCACTTGCTATTGCAAAATGGCCCATAGGGAGCTTAGCCTTTTCTTCTGCTAATGAAACTTCTGTTCAGCAGTTGAGGAGTAAAAAAATATGAAATGTATAGATTTCCTATCCATGGCTTGGGTGATCAAAATCAGATTCCTAAGCGCTGCAGTCACGACTCATTTCCTTTTTTCTGCCAGCAGACTAATAGTTCGTTCACTACTGCAGGGGTGATAAAGAAGCGGATCAAAACAGTGCAGGGGTCGCTGATGAAGAGGATGAGCAAAGTAAGCATTTCGATGAGGAGGCTGGTCTGGGTAATCCTGATCAAAAAAAGGCAGCTGGAAGCCATAAAACTGGAGATATTAGTAAGTATGATTTGGCTTCGACTAGTGCCACGGAGAAGGTTGGTGGTGAACCTAAGAACAGGGGAAAAGATACACTAGGGAAGAAATTTTGATATAGAACAAATTATTTTAGAAATAGAGGAGGTTGGATGCTTATTAGTCACATGAAATGATCAAGCACTGCCACTGTTAAGGAAGTGGCTGATTCCAGCCACGCTGGAATTGCGCTGGAATTGCATTGGAATAAAAATATTCGATTAATAAACAAATTAGGTATAAAGGCAGATGTATATGCCTAAGTGTTTTATTTTTCCTTACCAAAAAATTTAAAGAGTTGGTATTGCCTTTGATAACCGTTGTTTTGTATGGTTTTTTGGGCAATAATGTATGTTGGGCGGGCTTGAATTTGTGATTGACCTTAGCTTGCACCAACCATAGTCCCTATGGATGTCAACCAATTGAATCTTTATTGTCTATATTCGAATTCAATGAAAAATTCGAGTTCTGAATTTTATTCATTTACTTTACGGATTTTAAAACCTTAAATCATATTTGCATTCATTAATAATTGAATATCCGGTACTCTTTAACTTTTGAAGGTTTTATCTTCTTGAAATCAAGAGTTCAAGTCCACTCTTTTCCCTCTCCGAAAAAAAATTGAATATCCAATTTAATATGAAAATTTGAATTACAACAAAAATTTATAAAAAATAAATAATTTTATCAAGTTTAAGTTAATTTTTATCCTAATTTAATTAATCAATCATTTTATTCAATAATTTTTATTTAATTTTATGTCAATCTCATTAATAACCTAACTATGTATACATATACAATAATGTCTCTCCATTATATATAATACCGAATCAAATTTTTATCAAATTGAATTTACATTTATCTAAATTCAAATTTATTTAAAAAACTTAGTTGGATTCAGGTAAATATATTAAAGGGTTAATCTCATTTTGCAACCCGAAAAATCGTTCGAATCTCAATTTACACTCCCAAAGATCAAAAATCTCAATTTGCACCCTCAAAGATAGAAATTTGTATCAATATACATTCCCAAAGATAAAAAAATCTCAATTTACACCCTCAAAAATAGAAATCTGTATCAATGTGCACCTAAAACTAAATTGATAAATTATACCTAGATCCTCTCATGTTTGTCACTTAATCATTTGAACACCTTTACATTTAGAATATTACTCATACATCTCATGACGTTTGTACATGTGTAAACATAACCACTTTTCTTTGATATCTGTTAATATAATCATTAAAAAATATGATTTTATCGTAATAAAAAATTATAATTTCATATTTCCCTTTATTTTGTGGATTCGATATACTCTAAAGTTCAAAATCAAGTTTACCATTTGAATGTCTAATAGAATGTAGATATTTATATAAAGGAAAATATGAAAAACATTATATAAATATCTACATTTTATTAGACATTCAAATGGTAAACTTGATTTTGAACTTTAGAGTATATTGGATCCATAAAATAAGGGTAATATGAAATTATAATTTTTTATTAGGATAAAATTATATTTTTTAACGGTTATATTAACAGATATCAATGAAAATGAGTTACATGTTATACGTGCATAAATGTCATGAGATATAGGAGTAATATTCTAAATGTAAAGATATTCAAATGATTAAGTGACAAGCATGAGGGGATCTAAGTATAATTTATCAATTTAGTTTTAGGTACATAATGATACAAATTTTTATATTTGAGAGTGCAAATTGAGATTTTTTATCTTTGGGGTGCACGTTGACATAAATTTCTATCTTTGAGGGTGTAAATTGAGATTTTTGATCTTTGGGGGTACACATTGATACAAATTTCTATCTTTAAGGGAGCAAATTGAGATTTTTATTCTTTGAACGATCTTTCGGGATGTAAAATAAGATTAACCCTATATTAAAATATTAAGCTATATCCTGTTAAATGAACTCGAATTCGGATCAAATTTGGATTAAAATTTACTCCATTGCCATGCCTACTAGTACCTGCTAAAACAAAAAGAAAGAGTTTTCTCTTTTCTTCCTTTGATCTGGACTTTGACTATTATATCCAAGAAAGAGTTTCTTAATTCCTTTTATTTTTCTTTATTTTTTTGGGGATCAGGATTAGAGGTATAATCAAATAATTCTAAAGACTTTGAATAACCACCCCAGGAAAATGATTTAAAAGAGTAGCCCTGAACTGTTGTGCAGAGTCCTTAAGTCACTATTAGTCCTTATAATCAATGAGCAGAACCCTTCTGATAAATGAATAATTGGGTAATGGCCTTTCATATCAATATCAGATCAGCCATACCATGTATAAAGATGTACATCAATCATGCTCACAGATTTGTAAGATATTAGCTAAATCAACAATGTTTTAGGATCATTCATATTGAAATTTGACAGTTGGATTATTCAAAGAACCTTATGCTCTTACTCCTACAACACAGAGCACAACCTGTGACCAACTGAAAAGAAGAGAAGAAACTATAAACTCTTGAGTGGAATTATTGAAAAAACTTAGACCTGAAATTTATTTTAGTAATGTTGGCATCAATAAAAACAGAGACGGGAGATTCAAAACGAATCTACGTCCCAAACTCGGTCACCTTGAGTCCTGATTTTTTTTCGGCGAGACTGTGGAAACAAGAGTTGCTGGATCTGCTTCTCAGCAGCCCTCTCGGACGTTGCCTGCAGATACAAACACATACAGAGACTGTCAGTACAATTTACGGCTTTGAATTGTTAAAAGTTATTATCCAAATGGATTGTACTGATAATAGAAACACAGCGCATGTCAACAAGTGCCAACACCAGTTTGGACATCCTTGAGAATGTTCACATTGTTTGTTTTTAAAAGCACGTATATTGTTTCTGTTCATCATTTTGCATTATGGACCAATTTTTGCACAATTATCAGAGATGCAGTAGCAGAAAGCACCAATTCTTCACAAAAAAACTGGAAAAATGAAAATGAAAAAAGATTACCCCAATTATATTGGTCTACAAGTCAATATTTGAGCAAGTACCCTAATTAGTATAATTCACCTGGTTGCAGTATAAATTTTGATACCAGACCATACACCTTCTAGATGAGCACTATGTGGATTAAAGAGCCATAACAGTACTCATGTTAATTTTGGGCAAGGATAATCCTATTGCTGAATATAGGTTAAATTAGGCCCCACAGCTTCTAGTCATGATCCTTGCCACATGGTTTTCTGATAATCTTTACAAACATAATTAGATGCTGTAAACTGATTGTATTCAAGAACTAAGTTGTTTCCTCAGGAAAACATTCAGTTATGCTGGTGTCAAGCAATTTAGCCACACGGATAGTATTGAATCTTAAAGGTCAGACAAGCAATCTGTACTGCTTACCCGGACTTTGAAGGGAAAACGATGGGTCCGTACTTCTATCCCAGAGAAAACTCTAACGTCCATGCCAAGACTGTCAACCCCAATCAAAATTGCCCCCTACAAGATCAGACTGAGAGATTTGAAACTGTCACCACAAAAGAATTGAGTCCACAAAAACAGATAACACATGTATGCCGAAAAATCTGAATATATATGCATATCAGCATATATCCCAAAACTAAAGAGGTTTTGTTGGCCATCAATGTTTTCTTATTAATGGCTATATTCTTGCCAGACATAAAGAGGTTCCTACATTTTTATATTCCTGGTTGCATCTGTATTTTTTATTTTTTATTTTTCTTTTCCGGGGGTGGGGGGCGGGCCGGGGGGGAAAGAAAAGAAAAAAACAAGGAGAGTGGTTTTCTTGCTCATGGATGTCACCTATAACAGAGCTTCCCAAAGAATGAGCAGATGTTATCGTTGAACTACTTGTGTCTAGGCGTGCGTAAGTGCAGTCAACAAAGATAAGTTGAGTGAATAGGTTTGTAAGCGTACCATCTCCCACCCCAAACTACCCACCTCCCCCAAAGACAAAAAAAAAAAAAAAATCAACCAACACAACAGCACTATGGATAGCAACAACACCATTGTACTTGCATATTGTTCATTGCCATTAAAACTATCTCTGATCGCCAAAATACTAAAGAGTGGAATGCCACGAAATTCCTTAGATGTTGAGGTCCACATCCAATCCAAGAAGTAAATTCTATCCCATAATCATTCTTTCCACTCATCTCTATCCTCAAATATTTTATTATTCTCTCCAACCAAATCACCCAAATAATGGCTAAAATTGCACAATTTCACAGGGTCAACACCCTTTCATGCTTTCTAAATCTAGCAAATCCCTCCACAAACATAGAGGAGAATGTCCCAGAATCACCCAACTCAACCCACTAGTTGAAATAATTTGCACCGTATAAACAAAGTAGGGCAATGCAAAAAGAGTCGATGCTTGCATAAGCACATCTACACATCACACACCACTGCGGAGAAATGCAAAGGAAAGGTCTTCTTCTTAGAAGCACATCATTACTGTTTAGAGTATGGTTAGCGTTTCTCAGTCTTCGTACGTAAGAGAGAATTTATATGTATATTACCCGCATGGTCAACTTCGAGAGCATATTACACCTACAAATTTGAAGTTGGTCCGAGATTGTTTGGTATATCTTTTCAATTATTGTATATTTTTGGGCACTTAGAGGCTACTTGTTAGCATTCCCCTCCAAAATGATGTAATAAATGATGTCCAGTATTTCTTGCCTAATTTGGCATGTTTGGAGCATGTTGAGGTGCTTGAGAGTGTTCCTGTACGTCAAAATCAAGTTAGGTCATTCAACACCACCAAATGTAGTAGTAAGTCAGATTGGAACCCTAAAAGCCTCAAATAAGAATACATAAATAAAAATGGCCACCGTGAAATCAAACGGGCGTAATTCTCTGGCCCAGTCTCAATCTGCAATATTCTTTATTAAGAGTTGAGGAAAGATGGGATACCTCAATGAAAAGATCAAATAAACACGAGGATGATCCTTTGTTAGGGTGATGAGAAGCGAAAAATTCGACAATGGGGTTTTGACTGTTACATTTTATCAGACCCCAACACTAACAATTACTACTTTTTTGGGGGGTGAACTGCAAAATAAATTAGCAATGCAATCACAAAGCA